AGAACTTTCCTGGTTTCTCGGCGAAAACCTCGACAAGTAATTTGGACAGACTTCTCTTGACGTCACTCCATTAAAGGATTTCTGCATTGACCGAAGCAAATGGTAGAAGGATGATGCAAGGTCAGGGCTAAATGATTTTTGCCGAGCCATCAAAGATTTCATCCCCGTTCAGCAGAGAATCGCAAATGTTAACTCGGTCCATTAAATTTCTCACAGACAATTCATTTGGTAACTAAAGAACGAGTTTATTTTTGTAGCCTGCCTTTTTTAAATGGTTCCAAACCGTTTTATGATGAATGTTTAGTTCCTTTGCGATGGCATGACTACTTTTGTGACAGTCCTGGTCAATCTTTTCCATAATTTCATCGACCTTTTCAACGATTGGTCGACCAGAGCGAGGTGCGTCTTTCACATCGAAATTTCCAGAACTCTAGCGAGCGAACCATATACGACTGCAATATCTGATGACAAAATACGAAAAGAATTTTTAGACTGCCCAATATATTTCCCAATTTCCATTAATTGGCGCCTGCCGCTGTTTTGTTTTTGTTTTTATCTATATGCTTGCGTTTTTTTTTGCCAAAAGTTGAATATTTATTCAAGCACTAGATGTACAACAGTGGTTTTCAATGTATTGCCCATACGAATCCATAATATTTTCTAATATTTCTGGCAATTTGTGTATTCCATCCATTTAAGCCATTTTTGAATCGACCTTTGATGTGAAGCTGTGTGTTTCGCACAAAGTTCCTATTATTTGAGTGAAAAAATTTTGCTTTTCATGCCTCAAATTAATGGCATAAAACACTAACCACAATAGCGGTAGCTTTCCAAGGCATCCTCAGAAGTTTCGAACAATGAAATATTAATCAAGTTAGGACATCTCTTAACAAATCACACGAATATTTGTTATAGACCCACCAGTACTGAAAAATATGATTACCAATAGTTTGAATTAGTCAAACTTAGAGTTTGTTGATATTTAAAATACAACATTTGTGATTATTTGAGCATTTTGAACATTTTTGAGAATTTTGTTGAGTGGTTTGAATGTCAAATCATTAAAGTATCAATAATTTGAGTGTTCCATGCAGAAATCCGATTGTGTCCAGTCTTAGTATTGAGCTTTTATCGAAAACGACACATCTTCCAAGTCGTTGATTCCCTGTAAATTTACTTTAACTGCAAATTAACCCAATTCCGCAAGTCTAACAAAAGCGCTTAGCCCAAGACTGACTCGCATCTGCATAGATGCTAAATAAGATAGCAATACGCACTTACACCGTCGTTCGAGTGAACTCGAATCCCCTCGAAATTGCACAACATCTTGACATTCCATTTACCTTAACTCGATTCGATTTGACTTCACTAAATTCAACGCGCTTGACTGCGATGCGTTTCATATGACAGCTTGAGTTGGCGGTTGAGCGTTGCAGTGAATTCCTTTATTCGTACCTTAATGATTTCTAGGAATAGTTAAAGTAAATTCCATGGTGCCGCTGTTTAAATTTCATTGGGCGACAGGCGAAATTGGTTTGGCAGAAATTGTAGCAAGATCGCAACGTATTGTTTTGCTCTATGTGCGAAGGTGGCACATTCTAGGATTGATAATTACTTCCTCCACTGCAAATGCTGGTGGCATCACCCGCCTCATTAATGTCGGCTTCAAGACGAGCACCGGCACACACAGCCACACTTACATGTGTGCTTCGTAAGCGCATACATACATACATATGTGCAGCCATATATGCGAATGCCTGTGAGTAAGCATGAATTTACATATCCCTGCACAAATAGAGATTGCAGCATCTCGGGGCGTGCAACAATAGCATATCAAGTGAAAATTTGCACACAACCCTATGTTTTAAGACGCTTGGGCTCCTTTCTCTGTTGACTGTTGTCTAACCGCATACACATACATATGTTGTGCACATACTTTATACAGAATAATATTCATATGTGTGTGCGTGTCTGGTGGTGAAGTCGCAAATCTCTTGTTGTTTGCCACATGCCACACGCCCTATCGGCTGCACTTACACACATGCGTTTTGGTTAGTTTGCTTTTCTCATTCTTTTGCGTGTGTGATGTTTGCTTTTGTTGCTTATTTTCGGCAAACGTAAGATTTCGGTTTGCGCATTTACTGCTCATTTCGAAAGGATCAAGCTCTCCACCGATACCACCAGCTCCGATTCCAATGCCACCGCCAATGTGATTTCCTCAAAGAGCCGTAACGCCATCACCGTAATCGTTTTCTGCGCTTCAACGCAATCAATTGGCAATTTAAATGCAAAAGAGAATTGAGACGACAAAAAACGATAATAATCGTCAATTCGACATTAATATCCCCACGCACGTAGTGACTGTGATTATGCGTCTGAGATGGCAAATCGAAAAAAGGACTTCAGCTTGGCGAGACGTAGGGGAGAGGTCTTCTTTATTGTCGCTTTCTTGTTCACCTTTGTTGGAAGAAATGTTCACAGATTTCTTAGATTTGTATGGCCAAAGTGAATCCCCATAATGCGGCGCCAATTAATGGAAATTGTAATTATATTGGTTTGCTTTTACTCGATTCCGTTATTGCTTTCCTTTGTTTAATTTTGTATCCGCCGACAAATATTTTGTGCAACAATATCGATCTATTTATTATATTCCGGCAACATGTTGCAAAGGTACAACAGTTTTGTTCTCCTACCTCCTTTGTGCAACAATGAATGGATTGATATGAACATATAGCAATGTGATCAAGAAGGCGGAGAGAATTTCAGATCGGCCGCTCACCCTTCGTTTTCATCGCCATAGTTGCCAACTTTCAATTTCAAAAGTGCCAAGAAAAGCGTTTTTTGACAAAAAGCACTTTTTTAAGTTTTTGCATTTCTTCATAACGATTTGTTTTTAGAGAGTGAAAAAAAGTAAGGAAGGACTCAGTTTGGGAGTAACGGAATATTCCATACTTTCGGAACTTACAAGGATTAAAGTTAATTCTGTCCGATATTTTCGGTAAGAACTGAGAACTGACGTCCACATATTCGATATTAGGGGGCTTGAATAGTTGTAGTCCGATTATGACAATTTTTAGTGTATTACCACAAAGGTAAATACATTTATTGGTGCTTAATTCAAACTAAATTTTTTTTTTTTTTGTTTTTTTTTTTTTTGTTGGAACGTAAGCGGGGAAGTTTTTAGGAAAACCGTTATATACCGAGTGAAAAGGATTATTTTCCGATCCCTTATTCACTGTCGAGGGGATAACAAAAACAATTGTGAGCAAATTTATTTGAATGGGAGTTTTGAAGATTCAAGATTTACACCCGACAAAATCTCATAAGCTGAGTAGCTGCTGGGAGGATGGAGTCATGTCTAGAAATTCACACAAGTGAGGTAAGTTTCCCGTATTACACCAATTATTCTCTGGGTAGCTAAATAACATCTGTTTGAAGGTGAGCCAAAGTGAGAGGCGAACCAATCCTAGTCAGGGTTATGCGTTGGGGAAATCAACAAAGTGGCGGAGTCGATGGATTGCCGGCCGGAGTATGCTTCTGTGAAGAATATGGTTGGACGAAAGCATGCCCGACGATTGGAATTTATGTGTGCTTTGCCCAATACACAAAAAGGGAGACCCCACAATCTGCGGCAAATACCGTGGTACAATTCTCTTAAACATCGCATATAAGGTTCTATCGAGCGTATTGTGTGAAAGATTAAAGCCCACCAACCTCACCTGATTGGACCTTATCAATGTGGCTTTAGACCTGGAAAATCAACAACCGACCAAATATTCCCCATGCGCCAAATCTTTAAAAGAGAATCGATACGTATCACCTCTTCGTCGATTTCAAAGCTGCTTTTGGCAGCACGAAATGAATCTGTCTTTATAACGCGATGACTGAATTTGGTATTCCATAAACTAACGTTGAACGACACCGAAGCTGTACGACGACTGTACGTCTGATGACAAGACATAATTCGTCCTGCCCTCGTTTACTACCAGACCCCTTGGTTTCATTGTATATTAAGTAAACATATAAAAGCACTACGTGGAGTGTGCCTAGAAAATATAGAAGTAATAAGGGAGTTCACATAAATGGCAACTTTATATAAATTTTATAAATTAATACCATATTTAGAAGAAAAAAAAGGGAAATATTTCGAGAGATAGGAAAGAGCCACGTTGCCAATTTTTTATTGAAGTGAACATCAGAAAAGACCTTAATTTCTGGGCAACATGCAAATACTGGGGGAAGGATGGATTTCCAGTTTCCAAACTGTTTTTTTTTTTCAATTTTACTTAATCTTTTTATTCAATTAGTTTTATTTAAAATTCTATTTTTCACCTTGGAACAGATGAATAGCCCTTCTATACGAAAACGAGTTGTGTTTGAGCAGGTGCACAGAAAAAAGAGAGCAGCGCAGAGCTATTAGCAAAAACTCACGTTCCTTGTGAATAAATTTGATTGCATTCTAAGATGAAATACTCGGAAGACATGCGTAGCTTTCTCGAATTTTATTGACCAATGGCGGTGCGTCTGCGCTTTTTTTGCTTGCTTTGCTTGAATGTTTGATTACCTACAAACGTCGTACTGAGGAACGTATATACTATTATATACACTACGTAGATATACTTGGACATAAGTTAAAAAAGCTAAGTAAGAATAAATGACAGATTATTAAAAAATTTATGAATTTTATGCTATTTCTTAGTTCCAGTATGCTTACATAAAGCCCGTCGATTATTGCTGGGTATGCTAGTTACAAATAACCCAAAATAAACATAACTGTTAATAAATCATATCCTTTATATAAAATGGTAAACAATTCACAAAGGCTAATCTTTAATCGGTGCACCGATAAAAAGTTAGCTTTTACCATAAAATTTAGCAAACAGTAATATTATTGGGTTCAATCTACATGAGCCTCAACCACAAATACTTGCTTAACGGTGTATCCTAATTTCATTTGTGCGCTGCTAATTTCTCACGTCTTTGTATCTCTTTATTTGCAGTATCCTTTGGCCTCGTAGAAGCCGTGCTGGGACGCACCGCAACGCTGCCATGTGACATTGAGCCGGAAGCGAAGGATGACAGAGTTTATATGGTATTGTGGTTTCGTGAGAGCGCGGGCAAACCACTTTACAGGTGAGTAGGGGAACTGAGGTGTAAAAATCGGCGATAAAAAAGAGTATACCAAGCGTATGTATATATGTGCATGTATGAAGAATGAGTGGAAAATGTAATGAAGGCAGCTAACTGTATGCAACAAGCGGCATGACGCAAAACCCGGCAGCATCCTACGGGTGAACAGAACAATTGCAGCTTTGGTCGCACAAAACGGTGGGCAAAACTGGAGTGCGGCGGGGTGCAGTGGGCAGGAATAATAGCAGCACAAGTGGCATTTAATTGGATGCGGCTGTCAGCTAGTGGCTGTCAAGCGGCAGCGGCTTGCAGCAGAGTGTGGCAAATAAAGCTGCAGGAATGGACTCAGTCACGTGTGACTTAGGGGATTATTGCGCCTACGCTCATTACATATACAACTCCATATATATATATACATATATGCCCACACAGATATAGACGCTCTCAGAGCCAAGCGCATTTTCGCTCGTCTAAACCAGGGTTCCGGGTGACGCAAGAACAACTTTCGTTTTTTCCAGTTGATGCCGCTGATTTTATTCTTTCGTCATTACTGCACACGAATGCCTCCGCACGTATGTATGTGTGGGTGCATGGTAATGCATGCAAAGTTAGCTGCCGTTTGGCAGTAATTGTACGCATTGTTTTCTAATGGAAGTGAACGCGGCGCCGCATTTTTTATTTCAGTCGTTTTTGTGTGAACGATTTGGGAATTTGCACAATTTCATTCAGTCGAGTTTAACCTACGCCGATCTATAAATGCCCAACGTATTGCTCGCACTTTTTCAGGCGCCTCTGAGGGCTTTTTGCATGCACAAGGCAAATGGAGCAGCGATGTATTTATGTATGTGTGTACATTCGTATGCATGAATATTTCAGAGCTAATCATAAATGCGTCTTTGCACACTCGCGTGTAGCTCGCTGTAAAATCCAATGAACATTGAGTGAGCACATATGCAAATCCTTTCGTGCACTCGCGACTGCGAATTATTAGATCCAATATTATATGAAGACTAATTAGCTTACCCAACATATATTCAATTTGGACCAAAAACTGGAGACTTGATTATTATAAATAATTTGATTAATGAAAACAAGTAAGGAAGGGCTAAGTTCGAGTGGAAACGAACATTTTATACTCTTGCAACTTGCAAGAAGCAAAACTTTCAAATGTAAAAGTAAGTCCGTAAAGTCAGCCGGACGTTAGAAAATCCTGATATTAGTTATATAGGGACCTTTGATTTAAACGAAATAAGGATTACGATTTGAGGGCAAGCACCTGAAATGTCCGTTCCCTTAATTTCGAAGGTGCCGCTGCCTAGCTGATTGATGTTCTCGTTAGAGTGAAGTCTGACATCACCGCTGTCCAAGAAATGCGATGGACCGTACAAGGACTGAGGCGAGTAGGTCCTTGTGACATTTATATTTTAAGAAAAGCCACCAACCTGGCTGTGTCCGGATCGAAAGACCACCAACCAGATCGATCATGTTGCGATGGACGGAGGAACCGTCTCACAGTGTTTTAAATGTGCGTAAGTGCCGAGGTCCTAACATGAGACTCGGACCACTATCTTGTGTCAGTCTTGTGTTGAGCAGCTGCAATCACAACAGACAGCCGAACGATTCTCTGAGAGCACTCGTCAATAAATCGGTGTAAGGAATTTGCGTAGCGGCATTTCCAGTTTCTTGCGTACAGTTGCAGCCGAAACCAAGGGTTTTCGGAAAATGCAAAAGAACTGCTGGTACGATGAGAAGTGCTGTGTCAAAGCGGAGAGACAGCATATTGCCTACCTCACAACTGTACAATCGACATGTGCGGGTTGGGATGGAGAGAACATTTCTCCTACCCTCTGAATGGCAGTGAAGTATAATGCCGGGAGAAGGCGAACTCGTCTCCCCAATCGATGACGATGGAACAGACTTTCCATAGCAATAAAGCATAAGGAGAAAACGTCAGCTGTGAAAAGACAATCGACACTGATCACCTCTTCGTCGATTTCAAAGCTGCCTTTAACAGCACGAAAAGGAGCTGCTTTATGCCGCGAAGGTTGAATTTGATATGCCCGCAAAACTAAGGTGTCTGTGTAAGCTGACTTTGAGCAACGCCAGAAGCTCCGTTACGATCGGGAAGGACCCGCTACCAGACGAGGTTTCAGACAAACCGATTCTCTTTCGAGTAGAGAAAATAATTCAGCTGCAGAACTAAACCGAGAAGGTACAATATTCGATAAGACTGTACAGCTGCTGCCGTATGCGGATGATATTGATAACAAGAGCTTTAACAACCACGCCGTTAGTTCTGCTTTCTCCAGAATTTCATTTAGATTTAGGTGATACGTACAACCGGTATGTAAACAAAACTATAATACTCTGTAGCAACTGGTTGTAAGAGTATAAAAATGTAGAACTTAGTTCGTAAGAAAATTTGATTTTCTGATTAAAGGTAAAAATTTCTTTAGATTCTTTTCACCACTTTACTCAAGGGAATATTTCAAGGTTTACCCATTTCTGAGAAGGCATCTCGATATATTTAAAAGAATTTATGAGAATCAACATCACGCTATATTTATGAAAAATACCTGAAGCTACAGTTGTGAAAGCGACATGAGCGACGGTTTCTAATTTCACCCGATTCAACTCGAAAGCATTAAATCATTTCAATTCATTGACTCAAATCGAATGCGCAAATACGGCGGCCCAAACTCACACAACTGGAAGCTATTTGTTACCAGCATTGCCATTATACCGAAGTTAAACGTTCCGCAAGAAAATGCTGTCAGTTAATTGTATACAAATAATTTATATACAGTTATTTATTTAACATTGACCTTCGGCGACAGCTGTGCCTGCGACTCAATTGCTCTTTGCACATTGCTCTCGGGCGCCTGTCTGCCAAAGCAAGCCTTTGACAATCCGACCACGCAGACCTCCGCCCTCGCCGTTGTGCCGCTGCCTGTGTACGCACAATTTGTGCACTGCGTATTGTTTATGGCGTATGCCAACCTGTTATTTATAGTCGCAGGGCAAAAGTTTAATATGTAGCACATTATAAGCAGACATCGATATCCTTAAGTCTTGTCATCTCCGTTTGCGAATAACATGAATTCACTTGCCTCTGGTTTTCTGCATCTTTCGTTTCATTTAACTCGAAGGATGATGCGATATGAGCGTAAGCACATATATAGACTTATATGTATGCGTATGCTGGCAGTGGTGAATGTTCTGAATATGTGTGTAGTCCAATATGCGAAGGTGCACTCAATTGGAGACAATAAATTTCAATTTTGCTCCAGAAGCAAACACATCATGCGACTGTGTACATACTCACACATACAACCACATATTGATGTGTATTAAAACTTTTTATTTAGCGGCGGATGTGTGTGTGCAATGGCGTAAGAATCAAATGGATTCGCAAATAAACAAATAACCCAACAATTGAAGGGATGCTAAGAAAGTGGCGCCCTCCGTCTCTGTGACATATCCCCCAACACAATACTCTGCCGACACTGCGAGGGCTTGAAGCGTGTTTCGCCAATCTAACCGAAATATCCGAAAGTGATACGAATTCGATTTCCTTTTGCATTATTTCGGGGGAAATAAGAAATAACATGGAAATGCGTATCCAGATGGCGGCACGTTGGCACGTTGAAGCAAGCAACCTTTGAGTAGAGCGTAGAGTTGGTGGGAATAAAAAGAAAAAGCTAAGATTCTGTGTCGCTCGCGGGCCAAACAAAGTGATGACGGCCCCAGAACAGGCGCTGCGCAGGAGAAAACAAAGTCGAGCGGGGAGCTTCACTCCATGTGTGTATGTGTGTGTAAATGTGCCGATAAGGGCGCGTTAGCGAGCAACAACCACTGTAACATTAACTGTGCAAGACACCGTCTACAAGCGGCTTAAGAACATAAAAAATATACTCAGCAAGTCACCTGTAAAATACCGTTAGACGGAATAAACAGGCGCTATAAGAAGGTTATATGGCACCAAAAGCAAATATAATCGCGTGGGCACAGCAAACACAGCTTTTACAGTAGATTATTTTGCCAGTAGAAAATATTGTTGTTCTGATCTTGGTGAGTGATATTCCCAATTTGTTATAATGCCTGCCGCTATATGGTTCGAGTTGTGTTAAATAATTTCAAAAAAATATGTTGTTCATATTCACACCCTAAACAGTCGGAATATATATATATATATATATATATGTGTATGTAGGGTGGTCCATTTCTGTGGTTCTTGATTTTTAAAGAATAAAAACAGAAACTTCAAATTTAATGGGGAATGTTAATTATCATTTGGCATCTATTTTTTGCAGATTATCTTTTCAAACGTTGTAATATGGTAACAGGCGAACTACGCGCCCAGTGGTTTGCTATAAGGCCTGAATCAAAACGAGATTGTCCGCATTGACTTTAGACTTTACATATCCCCACAGGAAAAAGAGTAACGGTGTGATACCWTRCGATCTTGGTTGCCGATCGAGCGGCCCAAAACATCAAATTATCTGCTCACCGAAGTGTTCTCTCAATAGATCCATTAATTGATGCGATGTGTGGGAAGTTGTTGAAACCAAATGTCGTCAAGATCACGAGCTCAGGTTTCTGGCAACAAATATGTAGTCAGTCATCATGACGCGATAATGGTCGCCATTGACGATTACGTTCTCACCGGCATCATTTTTGAAGGAGTATGGTTCGATGATTCCAGCGGCCCACAAGCCACTTCAAACCGTTGTTTTTTCTGGATAAAATGGCAGCTTTTGAATCTCTTTAGGTGGCAATTTGTCTTGCTTACATATCCATTGAGTCAGAAATGGACCTTATCGCTCAAAACATCGGATTTTCTGGATCTTTTTAGCAGCGAAGCAATGTCGCTTGGGAAGATCGAGCGGCTTTAGTTCTTGCACAATCCGTATTTTGTAAGCTTTCAATTTACGAGCTCGACCAAGTCGTTCCATACGTCAGTCCGGATTGCTGCAAACTAATCTAATAATATATGCTAGGTC